CCTTTCTCTCATATTCTCCCAGGGCATGTAGTCGTCTCTCATAACTGACAGTATTGAAAGTGGCTTATAGATCAAGTAATGTCAGCATCCTTGTTTCTTATCTTTTCTTTGTCATGAGATCATTCATCAATGCAAGTAACATTGTTTATGTTGTAGGGCTTGGCTTCAAGCCAAATTGGGAAGGGTTATCAGCAGAGGCCAGATGTTGTAAGAGCCAGTTTGCTACCACATTCATGCTAATCTTGCCCAGCAGTGGGAGGTCTGAGTGACTAGATTTTTAGTGAGATTGTTGGTAATAGAGTCAGCCACCAGCCAAGATAACCTCTCTTGCTTTGAGCAGCTGAAAGCAGCATTGGAGTAGGTCACAGGTAGGGGCATTTAAACTTGCAATAAAAGAAGCATGGTTCAGTTTTTAGGGCATGGGGGTTCAGATTTGAATTCTTTTGTGACTACCAATTACTTGCTGTGTTAGTTTGGGCAATTTACTTAACCTTATTATGTTAGGTTTTTTTCCCCTCCTAAAGATGCCTCAGAGAATAGTTTGGTTCCAATTTCTGTTACCATTTATACAACCAAACGGCAGTTTTCCAGCCATCTAAGTGGCATTTTTGGCATTTACACACAGTTTGAACTCAATTATGTATGCAGTGTGGACATGTGAGCCTGCGCAGTAGGCTATGTATGCACTGGTTAGGTGGCTATGTGATTATACATCACAAAGTTCTTCCTGACAAAAATCAGGGAGGGAGAGGTCCCTCCCACGGTTTAGACCCAACACCTGAGCGGTCAGGGCATTTGTCTAGGTTCTAGCTTTTCACGCCCCACCCTCAAACCAGAGATGATTTGAATCTTCATGTCTCTGATTTCCCAGAAGAGTGCTCTAGCTACCAGGCCACAAGTTAGGCATTATCTAGGCTCATGTCCACCCTTTCTTTTGAAGCTGGCCTCCAGGGCAGAAACGAAAGGGAGGGTCAGGAGGAAGCAGCTAAGCTAGAGGGTGTCTGGTCCAGTGAGATGATTGCTACTCTGGAAGGAAACAGGACCTGAATTCCAGCCTGGGTCCTTGCTTCTAATGGGGCAGAAACTTTCTTACTACTCGGTCAATTTTATTCAGTTAATATTAAGCCAAAGGTGAAGGCTGTTCAGCTCAAATGCAGCAGTGTAGGGAGGCTTAGATATTGCCCGATTCTTGGGTTGGTGGTTAGGTCTGTAAGATGGAGAGCCTCCAGTTCAACCCTCCAGTGAGTTACTGGGACCAAGAACAGGGGTATCCCACTTGCTGGGCAAATGCCCTAATTACAGAGCTACCAGGGCTCAAACATGGGAGATCTGTCCTGGCTTTTTAAAGACATGCTCAGGGATGTGCCTACATAACCACAAACCTACCCAGCCAGTGCACACCATAGCTGTGTGGACACTTACGTTGTGTATAAGTGCCAAAAATGTCATTTACATGGCTAAAAAACAGACACTTGGGTGTGAACAGGGTAAGAGTATTTGGCCCTTTGTTTGCAATGTGCTTTGAAATCCTCAGATAGAAGGTGTTATAAATTACAACTACTGCTACTGATTGTTATTAATAAGGTATAATTAAAACACTTCACCATGAAAATTCTTATGTAATTTTATTGTATAGAAAACAGCCATGAATTTCAGAGCTGAAATGGTGCTATCCTTTCTAAAACAGTGTTGTCAGCATCTTTCTCAGATGATTGATAAGGGAGATTATTTAACTGACATTGAAATGGTTTTTCAAAGACCTGCCATGTGGCTATGTCCAAAGGCTGCCAAATTTGGCACAGTTATTCCATAAACCTCCACTGCCCAGATGGCCATATAGTATACAGAGATCTGCTGATCTTGCAGACTTTCCAGTGTATTAAAAATAAAGCTCAGTTGAGTAGACACTTCCTTTTGTAGAGATGAGCAGCTTTCATGTTTAGATGAACAGCTTTCATGGCTCTTGCACTCTAAAGAACTTGATTCTGCAAAGTGCTGAATGCCCTAAACTAGCTGATACCACTGAATGTTAAAGGTACTCAAGACCTTGAAGGATTAAGGTCTAAGGTTTTTATGGTATTGCACCAACTGGATAAAACTGGGAGCAGATTTTGTGGGCCTCTGCCAGATAAGGTCTAATAATGTCATTGCTCTTAATAAAATCTTGTAGCAGCAGGCTCAGACAATGAGCAAAACATGTCTGTGTGGGAACTTGCCATCTTGCTCTGTTCTTACAACATTGGTTCTATTGTCAGTGAGAGATCATAAAAGCAGGGGAGAGACCTTGGTTGTTAGACCATATGTTTGTTTGGTTTTAAAGCTTTGATTGTGTGCTGGCTGCTGTGTGCTGTCTGTTAAACCCAGAGATACAAAGTGTAGCTTGTTTTTGATAGCCTCTGTCAGCAGAGTAATGCTTGCTCTCCACTCTGAAGTTTCTTTAAAGTTAACTGTTTCCTTGATTTGGGGCAGAGGCATTATGGGTGGAACACTAAAGCCAGGTCATGAACAATAAGTCAATCAACAAATCCTTATAATTTTTTCAGAAGATAATTATATGAATTATAAATGTTCTCAAAAGCATAATGGGTGAAAGCCATTCCTGATCTAAGTCTATTATCCAAGTGCAAAGTACCATATTTACTTGATTAGAAGATGAGGTCCCCCTGTTTAACACGTGGGGAAAAAGCCCCTTGCTTTACAATTGAGCATAAGGCAGTAGACTGGGGAGGGGGGAGGGGTGGGGGGCAGGCAGCTGCTCCCCAAACTAGGGCTGGGGCTGGGGAGTGGGAGCCACCCCTGCCCCCTCAGGTCCTCCCTCTCTTCCCCTGCAACCCCCAACCCTCCTGTCCTTCCTGCTTCTCTTCCTCTCTCCCCCTTTGTCACGCTCCTTCTTACCTTAGCTTCACACCAGTGGGCTTGGTCCCTGCTGCAGCCCAGGACACAGAGCATGGCTTTGCTGCTGTGGGGCCAGGCTAGAACAGAAGAGCTGGCTCCACACTGCTGCTAGAGGGTGGGGCTGGAGCCATGCTCTGCGTCCCAGGCTGCAGCAAGGATGAAGCCTGCCAGCAAAGAGCAAAGGTAAGGGGAGGGGTGGAGGGTGAGATATGGTGGGGGGAAATGGGAGGAAGAGGGGCAGAGACCTGAGGATGCAGGTAGCAGGAGCAGCATGGAAAGGAGAGGAGTGGGGAACAGGGAAAGGGGGAATTGGCAGAGCCTGAGGCTACAGGGGAGGACAGGCACAGTGAGTGGTAAATGGTGGGGTGGGAGGGAGGTCAGGCAGCAGGGAGCAAGCTGCCTGCCTCTCACTGCATGGTCCCTACCACTTGACCCCCACCACCTACTCCATTACTACCTCTACTGCCTCCCCTTTGTCTGTCCCCCCACTGCCTGCCCCATTACTGTCCCCCCCATCACCTTGCACCCCAGCACGTGCAGTAGTGAGGGTGTACAACTTTAAGATGATCCATGAACAATTAGATTCCAAACATAGAAAATTATAATAAATGTATACATTTTCCGTGTGTGGAATCTGATTACTGGGGGCAGGGGGTTCTTACATTCAAGGTTGCCTTGTATTTGAGTAAATATGGTAATGTTTCTGAACAGGCATTTCATTCTTATGGAAAATAACACTGCACGTATGTATACAGCACCTTTAATGCCAGTGTGTCGGGCAAGAGTTAGCAAAGAAACCCATCAGGGAATAACAACAAAAGACATCCGGATAAAGTAGCTTCTCATTGCAAAGACAGTAGTGAAGGAGGAGGAGGGAAAGAAGTCAATCCATTATAGCACATAGAGTTAGGAGGCAAAAAAAGAGGGTGTATATGACCCAAAAACAAAATATTACATGAGTGAAGTGAATGAGTTGGACTTTTGAGAGACTGCCAGAGAAATGGAGTTTGGAGGAAGATAGCATGGACCAACATCTTAAAAGCTTGGTTACTGTTAGGGATGATGGAAAAAAAATCCATTGAAACTTTTTTTGATGGAAAACTCAGGTTTTGATTAAATAAAATTTTCTGTGAAGAGTGTCAGCTCTACAGAAAATGCTGACCTTTTGTCAGACCACAGACAACCAAAACACATTTAGTGTTTTTGGAAAATATTCTCTATGGGGAAACTTGTGTCTACATCTAAAGAAGTGTATTGAATTTTTTTTCACCAAGGTTGTGGAAATGAGTTCCATATGCCTCTTGCATCTACTTGTCCCTTTTTGATGCTGCCAACACTTTAGTCTTAACATAGTGGCCTAATGTTTCAGACTAAAGACTCTTTACTTTACCTGATAAACTTAACTTACATTTTTTATGGGGATTCCAAGCATTTTACTCACTCATGAGATGCAGCTACATTTAGATATGACAAAATCTCCCTTTTACAGAATAATATCTACAGTTATACAGGAAGACTGCAGCTACCTGACATGATGCTCACCCATCACATAACGCTTAACAAAATCAACATTTTGGGGGGAAAGGCTTTGTATTTTTAATGACCATAAATGTTCAGAACCATAATCTCACAGGCCAGGCATGAGAACAACAGCCTACAGCAGTGCCTCCTCACTAAGGATAAGAGCACTCATTCAATAATGACTCAGAAACAAGAGTGTAACCTATTGACCCACAAACACCAATTTCTGCATTCTGGATTTTACAGTTAGATAAGAACTGTGGGGGGCTATTGTTTGCTTGGAAGTTTCATGCCAGCTCAGATTCTGAATAGAGTTCTATATTTTTATTTAAACAAGAACATTTTGCCTGACTGTGTTACCTTATTGCTTTCTTAAACTCAGAACAACCCACTATGATGTAGTAAAAGTGAGATGGGGTATACCATGTTTAATAAGGAGAATTCTTAAGAAGAAATTTACAGTAAGATTGTCCTTCCCACTGATATGCTGGACTCTTCTCAAAAAGGTCACCCATCCCATCCCTTCTGTGGTAGCTGATGAGATGTGATAAGATCACAGTCTAAAGTTATATGTAGGTTTTCATCACTGCCACTAGATCAAAGAATGGTTAGTTGCTTCTGACCAAAAGATACAGAAATAAAATAAATATTTACAAAACTGAGGACTGAAAACTCTCCATAATGATTTTCTGCACCTGAGCATTACAGAATGGGCTAATGCCATCAACATGGCACTGTATCAATATTTAATGTAAAAAAGGAATTTTTCTGTAAGAGTGCTTAAAGATGGACTCTTTAATTTGGAATTATACATCAACTACTCTTCCTGCTGATTACAGTTTTTTAGTTCTTGTATGGCACTGTTTCCACACAGCTTGCTTTACATACAGATTCCTATAACATAACTACTGATGGAGAATGTTCCCTTTCTGCATATATATATATATGGACCAGCAAGTAGGGGTACAATGATAAAGATTTTTTGGGCTGATGCTGATGGCTGATTATTAATGAGCCATGTTGGCTGATACCGATCTGATTGCTTATATGCACCCAGCAGCTTGGAGAGCAGCATCTGGCTGGTAAGTCTGTTGTAGGGGGAAAGGGTATTTATCAGTAACCTTATCGGCCACATCAGCCAAAAAAGGGGGATTGTGAATACTGTTAATTTTCCTTTTATCAGTGCCAATATGATATGGACCAATGTACTGGTGCACCTCTACCAGCAAGCTGCTTCATATACAGATCTGTATAACATACCAACTGATGGAAAATGTTCCTTTTCTTCATTTCTTATCCTACCATCAATATGCTACCTAGCCACTCAGTATAAAATTCAAAACAATACTATCTTATCCACAGAGAACCCCAACCTCCATCAATTCAGCAGCAGTTATTGTAAACAGAAATGGGTTTTGATATTCATGAGACGAGCAGAAATAGGACGGAGACTTGGTAGTTGCCACGTGTGAAAGATCTTTGTTTACAAACTACAGAACAATGAACAAATGTATCTGCAACATAAACATACTACTGAGTATATGCATTATAAAGTAAAATTATGCAGAATGATCTCAAATAAAATGTGTACTTGGACCCTAGATTATTCTTACAGAGTAGATAATATCCATGATGGGGAATTACTTGCTTGAAAGTTTTGTACCGCTTCAGATTCTGCATATAGCACTATATTTTTCTTTTATCAACAAGAACTTGTTTCCTGAAAAATGTATCACCCCTATTGTTTGGTTACACCCCAAACCACTCACCACGATATACCGAAAGTGGGACATGAGCATATTAGGTTTAATGAAGAGAATCTTTAAGAAAAAATTTACAGTGAGACTGCCCTACCCAATGACATGCTGCTGAACTTGCAAATTCAGACGGACAGAAAAAGGATGACACTGCCTTAGTCAGCCCTTACTAAGGAAGTAGCTGGCAGAGAGAACTTTCAACTTGTTGAGTCAGGTGAGAAACTAGCTCATACTACAAACATATAAAATTCAGTCTTGTACAGTCATTTCAAAGTCAGTCACTTATCTATTTAACTCCTTCGTTACTTTGGATTATATCTGCTGTTGGGCAAACAGAGCAGTTTTACATTATTCCTAGTTAAGTATCCCAGACTAACTCGAAGTGTAGACACTTATCTTGGAATAAGAATGCCTTTCCCCAAAAATAAATAGAAAAAAGTTAATCATTCTGGAGTTAATTAGACATAATTTCAGGTATAAACAAGTAGGTGGTTTCGATTTAAAATGATGTTAATCCGTGCTCTGGTAGAGCACAAAGTACAACACAAACATGTTAAGCAAATAAGCATGTAAATTACAAAGATATATATCTATTACCTTGATTTTTGGACAGGTTATGGAAGTTTAAGTAGGATAATAATTTTTAGACTCCCAGCCAGTACCTTTTTGTCCATATCCACATCCCCCAATCTTTTGTTAGGGTTCAGGGTAGAGATGTGCCTTTTGCACTTCACTCCTTCTTTGCCAAACAACTGCCAGACACAGTCCAGCTACATATGAACAGCTATATGAAAAGCTATTTTTAATGATACGGGCGGGATGTGAATTACCTGTAATAGTTTCTTCCAGTGCAAGACTGCTTAACTGGTCAAATCATTTCTTTAGTTTGCTTTGGGTCTCTTGCAAATTAAAGTTTTAGGCATGTTTCCCTTTTCAGGAGATCATACCTAAATAAGTAACGTAAAGCTTTACTCAATAATATGCTGGAAAAGTAATTTAATATCCATCTGGACAGGTCCTGGTTTGTGACTCCTTCATTCTCAATCAGTTTGTTACTGACTAAAGGGTGCATCTACACATGCACTAACACACTTTTGCTAATGGGCATTAAATCTAGTAGCTCTGGGCACCTATACATGAGTGCGTGATAGGGGCAAGCTTTTATACCCAGTGAAAGCACCGGCCTGCCTCCTGTCTATGGACTAGCCACCCACCTCACCCTCCTGCCATGCCTTGGTGTAATAGTATTAGGATGTTAATCAGGTGGGAGGCTGCCCAATGTTTAGGGAGATATCTGCAGCTCCGTTCCACCCCTACACTGCAGCCCAAGCACTGGAGATGGCATCCCAGCCATCTAAGTCAGCCATACCCTTCACTCCATTAGCTGTGGTCCCCTCTCTGGAAACTTTGACTCTCCCTTAGGCCCCGGCTCCACCTCAGGCCAATCAGGATCCTGATCCTCTTGCTCTCTGGGCATCCCTCATGGTGGGCCATCTTGGCCCTTTGACTCCCACTCCCTCCTTGGGTCCTGGCCCCAGCATGGACCAGTCAAGGTCCCTTCGGTCAGGTCTAAGCTGCATGCTCATCCTCAGGGTTTGGGGGTCTGCCATTCCCATCTCAGGTGATTCACAAAGTGTTCCTGGCCCCGTGGGATCACTCACCCCAGCATGCTCAGGAGCTTACCCAAAGGTGGGGGCTGAGGTTAAGGTGCCCCGACCTGCCTTACGGTGGGTTCACTTGTGGCATTTACATGGGGACTGCTGTGCCACCAGCAGCCCTACTAGACCTTCCTGCCCTGGCAGGGTGCAGTTTTAGGTCATGCCCAGGACCAATGAGGCCTCCAAGCCATCACCATAGCCTCACCCTTACCTCCAAGGTAAGTTCCTGGTAGACCTCAGTAGAGAAGTATTTCTCCTCTGCTGGCTGATCATGAACTGCTCTCAGTTTAGGAAGCTGGGCATTAAAATGGCTTCCCTAATCAGGCACTTTCCCCTCCCTGGCCCAGTCCTTAAAGTAGCAGTCTGCTCCAACACACTGGAATTCAATTAATTGAGTCTGCTGGCGGGTGGCTATTGTAGGCTCCTACATCTCATGTGTAAGTGTCCCCATGCTTAAAAATGGCGGCAGGGGCACTTGAACTAAAGTTCATCAAATAAGCTTCACTTCAAGTGCCCTTGCTGCTATTTTTAAGCATCGGGATACTGATACAGGAGACGCAGCAGTGCTTTAGTTAGAGCAGCTCTTGGAGCCCTCCCACTTCTGAAGCACATATAAAAGTGCCCTCTATTGTGAGATACTAGGACAATGTACACATCTGTCTTAATGTGCATGAACTAAAAAGCATGGAGTATTTATAGATGTGCTCTGGGAAGTGGAAGGGGGGGGCACTTTAATTAGTGCAGCTGTGAGAGCCACACTAATTAAAGGAATAATGGCCATAAGTTGACTGAGAGATTCAGGCTATATATCAGGAGGCACTACTTCACAGTCAGGGCAACTAGGATCTGGAACCAACTTCCAAGGGAAGTGGTGCTCGCTCCTACCCTGGGGGTCTTCAAAAGGAGGCTAGATAATCACCTAGCCAGGGTCGTTTGACCCCAGTATTCTGGGCAGGGGGTTGGACTTGATGATCTGCTCAGGTCCCTTCCAACCCTACCAACTATGAAACTATGAAGTACCTGGAGCAGAATGAGCTTTAGTTTAAAGAGCCCCGCTGCCATTTTTTAGCATGGGGACACTGATACACGTGACGCTGGAGTGTACTGAAGCACAGTAACTAATTACCATGCTCCAGCAGACTCGTTTAATTTAGTGCAGTGCTTTGGAACAGCCTTACTGTATGTATATAGGTGCCCATGGTTTTTAAGTGATGCTTAATGCGCCTTAACCTATTTTAATGAGTATTACCTAAAAAAGCATGTGTTTTTAGTGATGCTTTAATGCACATTGAGGCACACTTGTAGATGTGCTCAAATGTACTTGTCTAAATTTGTACTTTAATAGTTTTTCAACTGAAAAGGTTTCAGTCTTCCTAGTAGGTGCAACACTTCTTCACAACTGATCTAGTTGTTGTTGTTGTTGTTCCTCTTCCATGATGTAAAGAAAGGGAAGGTCCAAATTCTATTAAGTTTGATACAAAATAGAGCATGCTGATAAAAAGTCACTAATATTGTTATTGCTAATCATGTCTGTTACTGTAGTGTCTTAATACTAATGTAGAAGAGAGTATCATCCAAAAGGCAGTGCACAAGCTACATCTGAAATCTATTTCCCATTATCTGGTCCAGAGGAAGTGGAGTAAAAGGTAGAGTTGTATATAGCTAAATATTGGGGAAGTTGCAGAATTTGGAGTGAGATTTGAATAAAAAAGACTAATTTTCTTAAAATTCAGGGTGATTGGTAGATGTTAAGGAACTCTTGATTTGTATCACTGATAGAGAGACATCCTTGGATTAAAAAGTTTATATATAAATCTTAGCTAATATCATAGGAGGCGAAAGGCCAGGGCTTAGACCTCCCCAAATGCCAGTCAGTGGTGGCAGCATATAGAGCCACAGGGCTCCAGGAGGCTGCAGCAGAGGGGGAGGGGTGCACACACAGACATGCAGCCAGAGCATGCAGCAGCCCAGTGGCATGTGGAGCACTGCCCAGTACAGCAGGTAAGTCTATCATGGGGAAGTGGCATGGTGGGGGGCAGATTGAGCCCCCCACGGTGAGGGAGCGAGCGGGCCAGAGGCAGCACATGCAGATCCTGGGGCCTGTGCCCCCCAGGAAGAG